GTCTATATTATTCCTCACTAATATGTTGGCTGTAATTTGCTCACCTTTTTACCTTGGTTTTCCAGGACACGAATACGATGGTACAGACCATCTACATATGCCACATAAACACAGCCCTCATTTACCGACCCATCATCAGGAGCGTCATGGAAGGCTACCTCCATCTTGGTTTCTAGTTCATCCAACTTTTCCTATTGCACAAAATGGTTAATAAATAGAAACAGTTATGTAAAACATGTCATTGCCCTTTGTTAAAAAATATATCAACTGAACTCTCAATTTTAATGACTTCTTTTCCCCCCCAATATTTTTTTACCCCAGTTATTAAGTTATTATCGTGACAAAACACTGTACTCATAGAAGTAGTTTATCATTCAATTAATTTTGATAATGCATTATTCTTTCTTTAGTTTTTTTTTTAAAGGGCATTTTGTCAAACAGTTGTATTAGTACTACTGATAATTTAAATCCATAAACACACCTACAGATGCTGTATAAATGTTTATAGATTTTAGAGGTCCAAAAATCCTCAACATATTATTATTATGTGTCACAATGGTGAAAAATCTCGTTGATTACTGAGAAATTTTCCTTAGATTCCTGGAACAGCCAAACGTCATCAAAATTTTCTCATATAACGGTTGTCTCGTGTTAATTGAGGCGGGAGGAGAAACTTCAAAATGACACTGATCCAATTGCATTCATAGCCCTATAAATGCAATGGTAATGCTTATAGAGGAACGTGCAGTGGACATGTAAATATAACTAATTAGTAGACACGGCACTGGACCAGAGATCTGTAGTCACGACTTCCACTATTTGCATGGACATAGAGAAAAAGTAACCATGGTTACTTACACTGTAGTCTTCTCCAACAAGTCGTAACATCACCGAGTCTGTACTGGAGTTAACAAACGACACGTACACGTCTAACTGGCTGATGTCGGGGATCACCAGCACATCTAAAATCAAAATCACAACAAAATTAATCAGTAAAAAAATTAACTTCCCTGAAACATTTGTTTATTTGAGGTATTGTTGTAATAGAGATTGGTCAGTCTGACAGACTGGACACTCAACACAAGGGTTGTACTGGTCACTTTGACACACTGGGTACACACTAGATTTCCAATATAGGGTCAAACTGGTCAGTCTGGACAGACAGGACACTCACCTGGCTCTATACTAGGTACGGACCGGTCAATGCTGGCCACCAGGCCGGACTCCACCATGATCTGGTTAATGCTGACCGTTTTTTCGGGGTCGGAGTAGAAAAGCTCCACCTCACAAACTCCCTCTTCTGTAACACCGTAATGGAAAGGATGGGTATTATCTGAACAAGCAGTTGAAAGTCACATCTCATTTCACTCCCGATTATTGAAATATCGTGTGGAAGATAATAATATTAAAAATAATTTGTGGTTCTTATATATGGCTTTATCAGTCTAGTTCGTAGGTCGTCTCAAAGTGGTTCACAAATTTGTATCCGTGGTTATAAGGCCTTTGCAACTAGCCAATATCTTTCTCAACTCCATCGGGAGCATACAGCCGGTGCTGCTATTTCCGTGCTCACAGCCATCATTCTACAATTCTAGCAATGCCCAACCATGTACTCATTTATAGCTGAGTAGACTGAAACAAGTGATGTAAAGTATCTTGCTCAAAGATACAACACAGTGCGGTGCTGCAACTCAAAGATCAAACAATATCCCATCAAGAGGTGTTTCAGAGGTCGACCTAGCTCAAAGCCTGTCATCATTTAATTTTAGTTTTAGGTTATTAAACATTTTAACTACAACATGACCAGAACAAAGAAAACACACCAACTACACAAATATTCCCACCAATTTGTAATCAACATTTGGCACCTCTCCGCTTTTAAGTGGGATAAGTCTGTTCTGACAGAATTTCATCATTTTTTTATGGAAAAGTGTATGCTGTTACCTGATTGGCTAATGCAAAGGTTGCTTGAAGGTGACCCTTAATGAGATTTTACTAGATCTTCCACACTGCAGCTGTGCCCTGATAAACCAAATCATTGCCTCTGCTATCCATAGCCAACAATATAGTTAACCGAGTAATTTTTCCTGAGAATGACTGTGGCTCTGTTCATTGTTCATAGAAGTGAAAAAAAGGCAAAGGGTAAACTGCAGCTAAAATGTCCCAGTATAGAGTAGTTAATGATAAAACTAGTACCTGTGAAGCCGTGGGTGAGTAGTTAATGATAAAACTAGTACCTGTGAAGCTGTGGGTGAGTAGTTAATGATAAAACTAGTACCTGTGAAGCTGTGGGTGAGTAGTTAATGATAAAACTAGTACCTGTGAAGCTGTGGGTGAGTAGTTAATGATAAAACTAGTACCTGTGAAGCTGTGGGTGAGTAGTTAATGATAAAACTAGTACCTGTGAAGCTGTGGGTGAGTAGTTAATGATAAAACTAGTACCTGTGAAGCTGTGGGTGAGTAGTTAATGATAAAACTAGTACCTGTGAAGCTGTGGGTGAGTAGTTAATGATAAAACTAGTACCTGTGAAGCTGTGGGTGAGTAGTTAATGATAAAACTAGTACCTGTGAAGCTGTGGGTGAGTAGTTAATGATAAAACTAGTACCTGTGAAGCTGTGGGTGAGTAGTTAATGATAAAACTAGTACCTGTGAAGCTGTGGGTGAGTAGTTAATGATAAAACTAGTACCTGTGAAGCTGTGGGTGAGTAGTTAATGATAAAACTAGTACCTGTGAAGCCGTGGGTGAGTAGTTAATGATAAAACTAGTACCTGTGAAGCCATGGGTGAGAGCAAGGAGAGCCTCCTCCTGAGTCAGCTCCAGGAACTTCTTCTGTGACTCCTCCGACCAGGTCTCACCCTGTAACAACAAGAGTTCCCAGCCTGTAATCTAGCTTACAGCTAAAACATTATTGATAGTTTGTACTATATTGTACTATATTGTATTGTACTATATTTACAAAATAGTTTTATAGTTAGAATACACAGCTTAAAATATATTTCACTGTTCTGTTCTCTTTTCACCTTTCGACGGAAATATTTTGGCACTGTTTTCCTTTTAAAATGTATCCATAACCTCTTTGACTGTTCTTATCTCATTGATTCTGTCTCTTATCTCATTGATTCTGTTTCTTATCTCATTGATTCTGTTTCTTATCTCATCGATTCTGTTTCTTATCTCATTGATTCTGTTTCTTATCTCATTGATTCTGTTTCTTATCTCATCGATTCTGTTTCTTATCTCATTGATTCTGTTTCTTATCTCATCGATTCTGCTTCTTATCTCATCGATTCTGTGTCTTATCTCATCGATTCTGCTTCTTATCTCATTGATTCTGTTTCTTATCTCATCGATTCTGTGTCTTATCTCATCGATTCTGTTTCTTATCTCATTGATTCTGTTTCTTATCTGATTGATTCTGTGTCTTATCTCATTGATTGTGTTTCTTATCCCATCGATTCTGTGTCTTATCTCATTGATTCTGTCTCTTATCTCATTGATTCTGTTTCTTATCTCATTGATTCTGCTTCTTATCTCATCGATTCTGTTTCTTATCACATCGATTCTGTTTCTTATCTCATTGATTCTGTCTCTTATCTCATTGATTCTGTTTCTTATCTCAT